GGGTTCTTCCGGAGGAGGGTGGAGGTAAGGACGTAGGAATACCTAGCGTATCCCCGGATGAAGTTACTATAGTAGCTGGTCAGGCCTAGGAAGCTGCGAAGCTGCTTAGCGGATGTGGGAGCGGGCCACTCCGCAATAGCCGTGATTTTCGCGTCGTCCATGTGGAGACCCTGGTCAGACACGTAGTGTCCTAAGAAATCCACTTTGTGCTGGGCAAAGCGGCACTTGCTAAGCTTGGCGTAGAAGCCATGTCTGCGCAAGCGGTCAAGGACGTCGCGGAGGTGTCTGAGGTGCTCCTCAAGGGTACGACTATAGACCAGGATATCGCCGAGGTAGACGAGAACGTACTGCTCCAGGATGTCCCTGGAGATGTCGTTCATCGCCCTCTGGAAGGTAGCGGGTGCGTTGGTGAGGCCGAATGGCATCACCGTGAACTTGTAGTGGCCGAATCGCGAGCGGAAAGCGGTCTTCGGCTGGTTGGTTGCAGCGACGCGGATCTGATGGTAACCGCTACGAAGATCAATCTTCGTAAAGAAGCGGTTGCCTGCTAGGCGGTCGAACAGCTCATCGGAACGAGGCATGGGGTAGCTGTTCTTAACCGTGTAGCGGTTAAGGCCGCGGTAGTCGATGCAAAGACGAAGAGTTCCATCCGCTTTGCGAGCAAAGAGGACGGGTGCACCCCACGCGGAGTTGCTGGGTTTAATGAAACTCAGTCTTAGGAGCTCCTCAAGCTGATGCTTGAGTTCGGTGGCCTCGGGGATCGAGAGTCTGTAGGGTGCCTGGTGGTGAACACGATATTCAGGCACGAGCTGAATGGAGTGCTCGACGTCACGCATCGGTGGGATGCCGGCGTACGAGAACGACGATGGGAAAACGTCGTGGTACTCTCGGATGAGGTCACGAACTGCGGGCTCCAAGTCAGTCATATATCGTGCGAGTTCCTCAGCGTCAGCGTCAGCGCACGACGGCGGGGTGGACTCGACGGACGGCAGAGGGATGGAAGTAGAGATGGGAGCCATGGAAATAGAGGGGGGATCTGGGTCCAGAGGGATGAGCTCGGCGTCGGGACAGGGTGGGTCATAGTGTAAGAGATCCGTCACGTCCACCATAAAGAAGGTGACGTCGTCCTGTCGAATGAAGTGGGCGAACTGTCGAGGCGAGGTGATAGTGAAAGAGGGAGATGGTGTGGGCACTGAAGGTTCCGGGGGAGGAGGATCGGGGCGTGGTATCGTCGTGGTACCTATGAAAGGTACGCGATACGTCTGTCCACACTTCGTTTTGAGAACGAGAGTGTTGGTCGCCCAATCAGCCTCGGTGCTGCGGAACCGACGAGACCACGGAGTGTCGAGAATGAAGTCGTACCCCGTCTCCATCACATCGAAATGTGCAGAGGAGCGGTGGCGACGAGACGCCGGGGAACGCTCAGTCGGTTCGAGAGTGAGGAAGAAGGGGAGGTCGGTGACCGTCTGATCGAAGAAGCGTTGGGTCTTGTCATCCCCTAGGGTAACGGAGATGGGAGTCGGAGACCCTGTCGTGGGTAAGCGGGCCTCCTTCACCACGCGTGGGTGAATGAAGCCGCCCTGAGAACCGGAATCCCACAGCACTGAGTACACCCTCGTGGAGGTCCCGAGTCGTACGGGGATGATCGGGAGGGTGCGATCAGGGTCAGAGAGGATGGCGAGAAGGCGACGCAGTGCAGCGACATGGAGGGTGAGTCGCTCCTGACGAGCCTGGAGCATGCTCAAGTCCAGCAGAGAGGACACAACGTCCTTGCGAGTAGCCATCTGCTCGCTGCAACGGGCTGAGCGAATGGCTCGACGCGTCGGTAGTCGCGGCGGGGAAGGAGGGGAGACGGTGGTCTGCGGAGG